GAGGGACAGTGCAGGAGAGGAAGGCCCTCTATGAGGTGGACTGATTCAGTGACTGGGGTAATCAGGATGGGTTTATCGGAGACAGTGAAATTGGCACAGGACAGAGCAGAGTTTAGGGCTGTTGTACACAGGGTCGCTATGAGTTGCAAGCAACTCAACGGCACATAACAACAACAACAACATAACAACTCTGTATAAATATTTAAGGTCTTTGTCTTATGACTGGGACAGGCTAGATGTTAAAAAATCCACGTAGTGACTTTCTGTTAATGAGGGTGAAGACTGGTTCTCAATCTCAAGCCTTAATTTTTTACTGAATACTACACATATCAACTCACTGCCCTTGAATCGGGTTAAACGCACTGTGGCCTTCTAGCAAGTTTCCAAGGCTGTACATTGTAATGGAAGGAAATTTCCCATCTTTCTCTTGTAGAGCAACTGGTGAATTTGACTTGCCTTTTGGTTAGCAATGCCACAAAAGCATCCTACTAAATAAAACTAAAAAAAAAAAGTCATAAAATCCTTACCGCTGTAGAGTCAGAACCAACCCATAATTCATAGCTGACTTTGTTTCTGACACTGTAAACTGCCTGGGAAGAGACTGCCCATTTTCCTCCCCAGAGCTGCCAGTGTATGGGAATTGTCAGAAAGGCACAGTTTCTGGGCTATCAGTGAAACTTAGCTATACACTACACCACATAAGTCCTTATAAAGTAATAAGTATATTTTAATTCTGCCAATGGGGTTGAGCAAGAGAATAGAATAATTAAGTGTCATTTGCTTATATAATATGCTGGCATGCTCATATGTTGCTACAAGTCTACCTAGTAATTTGTTTGGCAACTCTCAACAATTGCAATTAAACAGGTGGCTACAGTGTAATTTCCTGACAGAAGAAAACGGAAAAGTTGCTTAACTTCTGCCTTAGGCTTTTCAACTAGTGATTCACAACCCTGTGGGAATTAGAATCATGAGTAACTTTTAAAAATTCAACAAGTCCCATCATATTTATTAAACAGGATTTCTGACACTGGGAATTGAACCTGCATCTTGAAACCACCCTGCAGCTAAAGAGACAAGCCAATAAAGCGAACAGTAACACTTGTAAGAACATACTCCTCTGAACAATGGATCATAAGAAACAAAAGGGGCAGCATTTGCCCAAAACAAAGCTTAGAAGGCAAGAAGGGACAGGAAAGATACAGGGAACCCAGGGAAGAATGAGGAACAGCGTTGTTACATTGAGGAAACCTACAACTAATATTATGAAACAATATGTGTAAGAAATGTTAAATAAAAAACATGTTTGCTATGTAAACTTTTCACTCAACATCCTTTTAAAATTTTTCTTTAAAAAATTAAAAACAAAGGGCAAACATTGCACCAGGCCACTGTTTAAAACGCGATTAACATCAGGGTTGCGGGATGACTAAGAAAAAGGGGATAAATAATGTACACTGCATTGAAACAGATGAGGGAGAGAACCGTTTAAAAGGGATATATGATTAGGTATTATTGTCATGACAGCAGGCCAGAATGAAGGCTGCACAGTGGAATGGACTTGGGGGGAGGGAGTGAATAACAATGAAAGAATTTTTCTTTTACTTTTCAAAGAGAAGAGTGAATTGGGGAGGGGAGGGTGGGCAAAAAGAAAAGTGTAACAATGGATGAATGGAAATCCTAAGTCTCTATAAACTTTCATTAAAATTAATTAAAAAAAGACTAAGAAATGAACTAATAAAAAAATTAAAAACAGAGAAGCTCCACTAGTTTGAGAGCCACAATTCTCTTACAGATAGAGTTCTGATGGCTTAGTTAGTAGAAAGGAGTTGCACGATCAACCCAAAGGCACATGGTTCGAATTCATAACCTGCTCCTAGGGAGAAAGATGGGCAGTTTCCTCCCATGTGATTTACTGCCTCTGAAAACATGCTGGAGAGTCAGTTTTAGGTTGATTCTGACCCAAGAGTACGTAACAACAACAGGAGCAACACCATCTTGCAGAACTCACCCTTTTGGAAGGCTGTTAAGGCCTGGCCCCAAACTCCCTAAAGAAGGTAAATAACTGTTTTAAGACAACTCTATGCTAACAGTTAAGGTCATGTAAGAACTTAAGCAATATGGGAAACAATTTCAACCTAAACTTGAAAATGAGCTTTTGTGAGATGATTAGATCAAGAAGTTAAAATGATCCCATGACAAAGTTCAAGGACAACAGTACAGTCCTTTGGCAATCTTGCTTTTGGAATATTACCTGAAAGCTTTAGAAGGGCTATCATTACATCTTGCTGTTAATACTTTTCTCAGAAGTTAAAAGGCACCACGAGGGTCAAGTGCAGTCATTTACACAGGCTTGCCACTTGACACGTGGTGCCTAAGTACAGTATTCCCCGTTAGTTCACAAGCAGGGAAACTTTCAGGAGTTTGCAAGGACTGACTCAGCACTCAGAATGGCAGTCAGCAGGAGAGTGATAAGCGGAGAAGCCAACTTCTTCAAAGGTCCCACATCTGGTCACCCCAGCTTGGGGTAACCTCTCATCTGGCACCACCAACTGCTATGCCTGGGTACTAGCAGTTTATGAATAAAAGATCACAAGTCTGAGCATTTCTGATAGCCTTGCTGACAGAATGGAGAAAGAATCATATTTTTTGGGGTCTGCCTCTCTCAACTGGGGGAAGTGCTAGCAGGGAGAAATCCCAGGTGTTCCTGAGGGTAGGAGACACAGAGGTAACTAATAAAATAAGGGTAACTAATAAAATAAGCCTATTCCCTCTTCTTCCAGGGACTGACTTCTGTCCCAGGAAGCTGCTCCTCGTGGGTGGTCAACTTGATGAAGAGATGTGCTGAAAGCAGGGCTTAGTGGGTAGTAGAAATGGCTCTTAGCTAACCCAACCAGGGTAATGCCCAGGCCTGCAACCTCAAATCCACCCCCACCAGACACTGGGCAAAAACAAAACCTCAAGTTTCCTGCGCCTGACTTTCCTCAATTGTTTAAGAAAAATAAAATAGAAAGGGAATGAGCAAGATCAAGGGTTCTCTTCTCCACCCTTGGCCCTTGGCTTTTGGGGCTGGGTCTGTGAATCCCTTAATAATGTATGTAAGATAGTGCCTCTGTCTGTCTTCGCCTCAATTGCTTAAAAAAAAAAAAAGTCCTCACAGTCCCAAAAGCCTATGAGGCAGAGGTCCCATTGAGCTCTGCCTCTCCAGTACGACTTAGAGGCAAACATTTTTCCACGTCTTCCTCGGAGGAAACAATTTCGATCACGGAGATCAGTCTTCATAATCAGCTTCATCCGACCTGGGTCTGGCAGCTGGATGGCCTCGCTCGCTGACCCTTGACCTCGGGCAGGGGACACTGATCTGCAATCTGACTCCACGGCCTCGCCCGCAACACTTTTAATTATAGGAGCAGTCTTAGAATGCAAAAAAAGGTTCTAAAGACCCAACTAGAAACTTTCTTCCGTCTCCGCCTCTGGATTGGTGGTGGTGCCAGGGGACCTTCTTTGCAGCCCCCCGGCTGGAGGGTTTTCTCCCAGCCCCAGGCTGGGAGGAGATGGGCGTACTGACCGCCTGGAGCCCAGCCTTCGGCGGAGGCGGGGACCCCGGCCCGCCCGCGCTCGCCCGGCACTCCCGGAGCTGCTCCCCGCGCTCCCCTTGCGCCCCCGAGCGCCCCCCGCGCTCACCCGGCTCTCCGCACCAGCCGCAAGGCGACGAGCCGCACAGGCAGCATCGGCCGGGGCCGGGCGCCTCCGCTGCCTCCGCGGCCGCAGGCTCCTCGACCCCATCCGAGGGCGCGCTGTCCGGCGGCGCCTCCGACGGCCCGGGCTCCAGCGGCACGGCGGCCCCAGCGCTGTCCAGGGACCGCATCTCGTGGCCAGCGCTCTACTCGCGGCCGCAGCGGCGTGTGGCGCCCGCAGCCGGCGCTCGGCTGCCTGGCTCTTCCGGCCCGCGTGGTGCGCATGCGCGCCCCCCTCGCCGAGCCTGGGGATCGCGCCCTCGTCCTCCGCTGCCCTCTTACCTTCAGCTCGGGCGCCTCCTGGCCCGGGAGCCGCGCCCCAGTTTGCGGTGCCCGCGCAGCTGCCCTGAAGGCGTCCATCCTTCAGATGCGGTCAGCCAGGCCGGCCGGTGGCTGGGAGCCAGCCTTTCCAAGCCACGGTGCCTCCTCTCTGTCGTTGTACTGGGTTCCCAGCCTGCAAGTTCTGTGGCCTTCCCTTGGGGCTGGCATTCTGGAGGTTAAGAGATTGTGTATATTGGTGTGGCATGGCATTCAGAAATACTGGAATACCCAGGAAAAAAGGCAGAGCACCGTGCCTGTCTTTAAATGATCAAGGGTTTTTTTCCACTGTTACCACTTGTCCAAGAAGTGGGATGGGAGGAATTTTGCTGGGTTTACAAGGTTGAAAAAAATGGTCAGCATGAAATCATGAAGAAAACATATCCATAAGACTGAGCAGAACTCATTTATTTGTTCTTTGCAACAAGGTGGTTCTTGTTAACTGCCCTGGGGTTGGTCCAGACTCCGTGGTAACATCAAGTGTTTACAGTAGGCATTCCTTATTCATCTCTGATCTTCCCTTTTTGTTAACGGAGACATCTAATATGCCCACACATAAGATTTTAAAAATCCAAGATACATGTCATTTGGGTACAGAATTCCCCAATAATTCTTTATGTTTACACAATTCTTTCCTTGAGTTGCTTGCTATAAATGTGAAAAGGCAGTCTCTGTGCCAGGCTGAACATGTCTAAACCATTAGAGGTAACGCCAAGTAAATTTAGATTACCAAACCGTGAAGTCTGCTCCTGCACGTTAATTTGCACAAGGTGATTGACAGCAGAAATTATCTTGAAGTCGGAAGCCCCAAATTCTGAACTTGAACTGTGTCCTCAAGGAGGTCATTGTACCCTTCGAAGAAACCTGGGCTGCTTCATTTGTTTACTAGCGATTAAATGTTTCCCTTCCCACTCGGTAAGATCTGCCATGTAAATAAAGCAAGCACATGCGCTTTGCTGAACTGGCAAGGTGTATTTTTAACTAGGGTGATCTTTTAACTCATCACTCAAACTAGAACCTCTTTTAGAGTAGAAGGGGGAGCTTTTGAAAGACTTCTCTAGAAAACTTAGATTATGTGGATTAGATTAGAACTACTCACAGTTTATCATGGCGGTCTAGGTGAATAAAGAGGAAGTCTGAACCCAGGTAAGAGGTAGGGAGGAAGGATTTTGGTTTTGAGGTGGGTGAGAGATGGAACCACTACTCATTTGTGTATTTGTTAACTGTGGTGGCAAGCATGTCATTGTGGTGCTGGAAACCGTATTTAAAAAAGCTGCAGGGTCATCACATGGACACCCACAATGGGGTCCCTGTTGCTCTCAAAGGGTAGTTGTCTTTTTTTTTTTTAACTAGTACAGAATACTTAGATTTGTGCATGAGCAAACTTTGTTTTCCCTAGCAGGAATTGAAAGGGAGACTTTCTTTGAAAAATATTGCTGTCTCAAAAAAGAGGAGTTTTGAGGGAGTATTTGTAGGATAGGCTAAGGACATGGGGGAAGGCTCATGTTTACTTAGTATTTTTTGGAGGGGAAGGTGGGTTTATTTTAGAAAAGGCAGTATTATGCAAATAAGGAAACACACAGCTTCAGGGTGGAGTCTGGTTAAGTGCTTATCGTAGACTCATCATTATGGGGCAGGTACTGTACTTTTCTTCTCCAGGGCTACTGCTCATGAAGGTCAATGAGCAGGCACCTGAAAGCATTTGCAGATAATTAGTCACAGGAGTTGAAGATAAAGTTCAAGATTGTCAGGAATGAATCTGGCTGCTTATGCAAGAAAACACAGCATGGGTAAAATTGGGATGGGTGTACACCAGGGATGTGTCCTGTCTCCATACCTTTTCAACCTGTATACAGAACAGATAATCCAGGAAGCTGGGCTCTATGAGGAGAAATGTGGGGTCAGGATTGGTGGAAGATCTACCAGTAATCTGCGTTATGCAGATGACACAACCCTGCTTGCTGAAACTGAGGAGGACCTGAAGCGCTTACTGAAGAGGGTCAAGGGCTGCAGCCTCCAATATGGATTGAGGCTCAATGTTAAGAAGACAAAGAGTCTCACCACTGGACCAATTGGCAGCATCAGGATGGATGGTGAAGAGATTGAAATTGTTCACAGCTTTAGTTTGCTTGGTTCCACAGTCAACTCTCTTGGCACCAGCAGACAGGAAATTAAAAGACGTATTGCGATGGGAAAGTCTGTTGTTAAGGACCTCTCCAAAGTACTGAAGAGCAATGGTGTCTCTCTGGAGACTAAGGTGCGTGTGACAGGCCATGGTCTTTGCAATCACTTGTTATGCATCAGAGAGCTGGACAAAGACTAGGGAGGACAGAAGGAGAATTGATGCCTTTGATCTGTGATGCTGGAGAAGAGTATTGAGTGTACCATGGACTGCTAAGAAAACAAACAGATTCATCCTGGAGATGGTTAAACCGGGTGGCTCCTTGGAGGCCAGAATTCTGAGCCTTTATCTGACATACTTTGGTCATGTTGTAAGGAGAGACCAGTCCTTGGAGAAGGACATCAGGTTTGGGAGGGTGGAGGGAACAGCGAAGGAGAGGAAGGCCTTCTATGAGGTGGATAGATACAGTGACTGGGGTAACTGGGATGGGTGTGTTGGAGACAGTGTGATTGGCACAGGACAGAACAGAGAGATTAGGGCTGTTGTACACAGGGTCGCTATGAGTTGCAAGTGACTCAACGGCACATAACAACACCACCTAGGTCTTGCAGTAAACAATTTGTGACCAACCTCCTTCATCAAAACTGTTTTAGGAGAAAGAAGTACTTAGCTGCTATAGAAAAGGTAGGTGCGCTTTCGGCTTTCGGCTCGGAGGAGACCTCGGTGCAACTTTTTTCGGTAGTCCCGTATCTGGGTTCATCCGACACCAGCCGCCTCCGCAATGCAGCCCAAGTTCGACGCCAGCGAGATTAAAGTTGTGTACCTGAGGTGTACTGGTGGGGAAGTCGGTGCCACTTCCGCTCTGGCCCCCAAGATCGGCCCCCTGGGTCTCTCTCCAAAAAAGGTTGGTGACGACACCGGTAACTGGAAGGGACTAAGGATTACAGTGAAACTGACCATTCAGAACAGACAGGCCCAGCCAGATTGAAGTGGTGCTTTCTGCCTCTGCCCTGATCATCAAAGCCCTAAAGGAACCACCCAGAGACAGAAAGAAGCAGAAAAATATTAAGCACAGTGGAAATATCACTTTTGATGAGATTGTTGGCATTGCCTGGAAGATGCGACAACGGTCTTTAAGCAAGAGAACTCTCTGGAACTATTAAAGAGATCCTGGGAACTGCCCAATCTGTGGGCTGCAATGTTGATGGCTGTCACCCTCATGACATCATAGAAGACATCAACAGTTGTGCTGTGGAATGCCCAGCTAGCTAAGGAACTACAGATGAAAATATTTCAATAAAGGATCATTTGTTAAAAAAAAAAGGTAGGTGCTTTTATTTGGCAAGTCCTGTAAGAGAGTAAAAGAAAGTGGTAACATTTGCTAACAGAACACACTTAGCATATCAAGACAGAAAAATCAGATAAAGTTTCTCCTACTCACTGCTAGAAACTATCCATTGCCTGATTGTTAAAAATAATATTTTTTAAAAAAAATAAAAGTCCGGAAAATCTTTATCAATATGCTCAGGATTTACTGCACATGTGGCTATAAACAAAAGGTAGAAACTTCAAGGAGGCTCTTTATTAACATAGGTGATCTTTGAGAGTCAGAAAATGCAAGATGGATTGATAAATACTGGTGTTTGAAATTTGAAAGTTGGAAACCCAGGAAGAACAGTAGTTTGGTCTTTGTGCTAGAAACAATGCTAGAGATTGAATGGTAGAATTTTGGAAAAACAGATCCTTATTCATTGAAAGCTTCTTTTTTAAAAAACAGCATAAATGACAGGTATACACATAGAACTCGCTAGATGGAATCCAAAACAACAATGGAAACCTAGAAATAAGAGCTACTACCATCAAGTCCATTCCGACTCCTGACACCCTGTCAGACTTAAATCTTAATGGGAACAGACTGCCTCATTTTCCTCGCAGTCACTGGTAGATCAAGCCACTGATAGTTTACTTGAAAGACCAATACATAACCCACTATTCCACACAGGATTCAAATTTACAACATCAGAGGAAAGAGATGATTGAGAAGCTCAATGTCATCAATCGCAGCAACAGCAAGGCCATTAGCTAGCTGCAGAACTGACAATTGCTCATAAACAAGTTCAAATTCAAGTTGGAGAAAATGGAAAAAGCCCTGGAGAACCGAAGCACAATATTGAGTATATCCCTTCTGAATTTAGAGACCTTCTTAAGAACATATTGGATACATCAAACACTAATAGCCAAAGACCAGGTGAGCTGGAGAATGATATCAATAACATCATACATGAAGAGAAAAAGGTCATTAAGAAGATAGAGAACAACAACAAAAAATCAAACTGGTTATCAGAAGGGACTTTGAAATTTGAGCACGGAGTAGCCAAAGAAAAAGGGAAGAAACTAAGAAGTTCAAGAGCTATGCAGCAGATTTCACAGGGCTGCTTCAGGAAGTACGCCAAAGTTTTATAATGAAATGTGCAAAGCCTTAGAGTTACAAACTAAAAGGTAAGAACATACTTGGCATATCTTAGATTGGAAGAAAGTAGAGAAGCTAGGTTAGCAGTGAAATAAACATACTATGGACTACACCACCAGAGTGCCTTATCAGAGACCATATTTTCTTTTTAAAAAACAAACAACAACCACAACCCAACGAAACAAATCCAAACCAATGTTACTAAGTCATGTCTAATTCTTAAAGATCCTCCATTGGGTTTCTGAGGCTGTGAATCTTACAGAAGACTTCTCATCTTTCTCCCTTGGTAGACTTGAATTGCTGACGTTTGGTTAGCAGTGCAACCCACTGTTATTACTGTTAGGAGTCGTCAAGTTGAGTACGACCCATTATGAACAAAATAGCTGAACCCTGTTTTATTGTGTGCCGTCCTCATACTTCCCGACACACAAGAGCCCACTGTGGCAGTCACGTGTGTCAATCCATCTGATTGAGGGTCTTCCTCTCCTTTGTTGACTCTCCACCCTTCCCAGCATTGTGTCCCTCTCCAAGGAATAGACCCTCCTAGCAACATGCCCAAAGAATGTGAGGTGAAGTCTCATCATTGCCTCCAAAGTGCACTCCAGCTGTACCCTCCTCAAGATGTATCTGTTTGTTCTCTTTGCCGTCCATGGAATGTTCAGTGCTCTTCTCCAACACTACAGCTCAAAGATGTTAGTTCTTCTTCTGTCATGCTTATTCATTATCAAGCTCTCAGATGCATAGCAAATGATTAGAGAGACAGACTAGGGCCTGAATCAGACTTACCTTAGTCCTTAAACTGACATCATTAGTCTTCAATAATTTGGAGAGGTCCCTAACTGCAGATTTTCCCAGCGCAACACATCTACTTATTTCCTGACTGCTGGTACCGAGGTGTTAAATGTGGATCCAAACAAGATGTAGCAACCCACATCCTTATATAGACCCTATCGAAACTCACTTATTGTTATGAGTCAGAACTCATCGGTGGTCCTCCACTGGGTTTCTGAGGCTAAAAATTGTATGGGAGGAGATTGCACATCTTTCTTTCTTGGAGATACTGTAGAATGTGGACCATCAGAGAGAGGCATAACTTTTAGAATAGCACTGACACTCCCTATAGACTATGCCACCAGAGACCGTTTAGCGACCCTATAACTAACTCATTGCTGTTAAGTTGGAACTGACTCATGGCTGACCCTCCAAATAGCTTCTCAGAAGCAGTAAATCACATCAGAGGAGATAGCCCATCTTTCTCTAAAGGAGTGGCTGGTCAATTTGAACTGCATGCCATGGGGTTGGCAGGGTAACTCCTTACCACTTAAGCCACCAGAGCTCCCTCAGTGATGCTAAGGCTTAAAAAACAAAAGCAAACAACTTTTGGGCTTTTAGGTATATCTGTCATCAGTCTTGGAAAGGGTGAAACCAAGTTACTCCTTGGAGGCAAGGATTCTGAAGCTCTGTCTCACATGCTTTGGGTATGTTGCCAGGAGGAACCAGTTCTTGAAGAAGGACATTATGCTTGGAAGGGTGGAGGGACAGCACAGAAGAAAATGGCCCTGAGTGAGATGGACTGATACAGTGCTTGGGGTAATGGTGGTAGGTGGGTCGGAGATGCTGAGATTGTCTCAGGATAGGACACAGTTCAGAGCTATTATGCATAGGATCGCTGGCAACTTGATGGCACAACAACAACATATTTGCCTGACTCCCGGATTGCTTTCCCTATGTTGAAAAAGAGTTTTTTGTTTTTTTTTAAACAAAGAAATATAATTTTAATTTAATAGTATTAGTGGGAGTTTTTATTTTGAAGATCAGTTTTCTTTCATACCTGAGTGAAAATGAGAAAAATAATAAATAGAAAAATAAGGCAAATTGTAGATATGTAAAGAACATCTGGCAAATCCTAATTGTAGTTTATCAGATAAAATCAAACTTTATCACTCAACTTTGAGATTCTGTGCAAAAGAAAAAGTTTTGCAAGAAAACAAGAAATATTACCTACCACATTTTGAGGGAAGACTTCATCTCATGTACTTTGGACATGTTATCAGAAAGAGTCAGTCCCCGAAAAAAGATATCACGGGTCAGTGTAGAACAGTGCAGCGGTGGGGACAGCAGATTCTGACCTCTGCTGACTCCACAGGTACCTAATAACATCAGTGCAATGCTTGTGAAGTCAGATACCCCCAGGCACTTCCTTCCATCAGTTTGGTATGAGAGGCTAAAATCAGAGGCACTTGGTTTGTGTGTAAATAGGACAGCCAGGAATCCCTATGGTATTTTTAACAGCTCTTTTTTTCCAAAAGGCAACCCCCTTAACCTCAGTGCTGACTTGAGCCATATATTTCATGAGGTCTGGCCTATCCAGCATATCTATTCTTCCTAAATGTTTGTCATTATAGACAAATAGATATAAGTTGGGAAGGGGGGGGGTCTTGAGACACAGCATTATAAAAACCTTGACAATGATCAAAGCAAGTAAACAGAAATTAATCTAAATAGAAAAATCCGAGAGCTGCTCTTCATCACCAATAAAGGGACATACCTACTTCACAAGGGAGTTATGAGTTATATACGTAGTTTGGCATATGTGTGCTCAATAAACATAAGTTTTCTATCTTTTAAAAACCCCTAAAATACTTTGACCATGAGCCTCACAATTGTGGAGTTTATGAGGGAAGTTATAAGTCTTCCCTCATAAACTCCACAATTGAAACAGGCTACAATTCTTCCGTCAGGACAGCCGGCTGCTCAGGCGTGCTTACAGGTCCTCTGACCTTCAGCCTCCAGTTCTAGGTCAATGTTACACAGCTCTTCCAGTCCTGCTATTTAGTGTCTACCCACCTCCACGGCTTGAGAGAAAGCCTGTAGGACTGGCTCCAAGAGGCTGTAGTTCGAGTTCAGCTCCTTCTGCTCTTGGCCTCTGGCTCTCCACCACCTCTGTTATTGCTGCTGCTCAAAGACTGTCTCAATCTTTGTCTGTCTCGAGCGGGGAGCTTTGACGTGCTCAGCTTTCTTTCCCTTTTTTCTCGATGATAGTGAAATTCCCCATGGATAGATAGTTTGTAAAAGAGCATAATTTTTAAGTTCAGGTAGGATAGATCCAAGATCATATTTTGGTTTGTGTGGACTTGTTTTCATTTTCTTCAGCCTCAATTTCAACTTGTACTTGAGTAATTGATGGTCTATTCCACAGTCAGCACATGGTCTGATTTTGATTGCTGATACTAAGTTTTTCAGATGATTCCTTCCACAGATGTAGTCAGCCGGATACCTATGCAGTCCATCTGATGAGGTTCAGGTATAAGTTGCAGATCGTGTTTTTTAAAAAAGGTATTTGCCATTAATAAGCCGTTGAACATACAAAACCTGATCATTCTATTTCCAGCCTCTGTCACCAATTTTCTGACTACCATTCCTTCTTTATTTTTTTTCCCTTGCTTTTGTATTTCAGTCACCAATTATCATTAATGCATCTTGATTGCATGTTTGGTCAATTTTGGACTGCAAAGTTTTGATGGCGTGGTATGTTTGTCTTATAGATAAAAGACTTACATGTAAAAAGAGTGGGGAATGATAGGGTGGTATTAATAAATTCAAAATTCTCTATATAGGTATCGGTTATAAAACTATAGTTCTAAAAAAAAAGAAGGAAAAAAACCCCTATAGTTCTGCAAAACTAGTTACTTAGCCTGTCTCCTGTCTTTAGTCATGTAGAGTAGTTTGATCTGTCTGTTTACCAGAAGAGGAAATGCATCTATCCTAGATGCTGGTGAAGCTGGTTCTCCAGTCACGTGTAAACTGTCTTAATTGGCCTGTTTACCAAGAGGAGAACTGGGGCCTTCCTGAATTACTGATACATAGATAGCAACTGTCCTTTTCAGATGTAGAAATCACCATTTTTACTAACAAAAGTGCACTGTTAAATGAGCTGGAGTTTCACCCTAGTATGTAAGGCCATGACCACTCCCAGACAGGGAGGCAGTCTTTGAGGCCTGGACCCACTGTCCTCCACAGATCTGTAATAAAGTGAATTTATGGATATTGCATTCCATTTGTCTTATTGGCTACTGACTACGGGAAGAACCCCTTGAGTTCAGTAACCTTTTGGTCGTAATATTTCATTTCTTCTTCTTTGGCTTTAGCCGTTGATACATACAGTCTTTCAAAACCAAATAGGGCTTCTTTGTATTCCTTGTATTTTTGGAGGATGATCTGTTCACCATCTTTCTCCACATATACCTATTCTAAATTACAGTATTAGAGATTTTTAAGTTTTACACTTTAATACTTAGGCACAATATACTTTCAAACCAGTACATAATATTTTTTTTAAAGTCTCATTGTTGTCAAGTGGGACTCTATTCACAGCTGAGCCTCAGTAGGTTTTTAGAGGCTGTAAATCACACAGAAGGAGGTTGCCCATCTTTCTTCTATGGATTTCGATGGATTCCAAAACAGCCAAAGAGTTGCTGCCTTTGTGTTGGCAATGAAACATTTTAAAGGTAGTAGAAAGAATACAGTGTAAACAAAGGGCAACTCTTTCCCCTCCTCTTCCAATTATCTCTTTGGAGATAACCCTGTATACATTTTCTGTTTTTAAATCCTCTGGTGACTGCCATTATACTCCTGCTATTAACATTGTTCGACTTCTGGTTACTGGTTAATCAACTTCAGATGGTATCTTTTGGTTCTGCTTTGGTAGAGAAAGAATTTGAATGCCTTTTACACATTTGATTTTCCTTGTTCCTGCCATATCTTGGTGATTACTTGGTATCTGGCTATGTTGGTAACTGGCAAGATGGGGATATGGTACTCTGTCTTTATTATTACCAGACAGGAAATGTGCTAACCCTTTAGTCTTCACACCTGGGAAAGTAAATAAGCCCTAGCCACATTTTATAGCTGTGTATATTGAGATCTGGGCCAAATATGTAACATACTCAGAGTCCTGTATTTAATAAGTGACAGACGGAGATAGCTGGGCTATCTGGTACACAGGTCCATACAATTACAACCCTGAAACAAGAAATACCTCAAGGGCAGCCTTGTTCTGCCAGAGCCAGTTATTTTCTTCACCCCCCCAAATTGTTTATGTGTATTTATATGTATACAAAAAGGCCAACCTTGTTCTTTGAAGATAAATGTTTTGGAGGGTTCCCCCCACCCCCTGCAAGAGTGTTTGTGTATCCATAGCTGTTGAATTGATTCCCACTCATAGTGACTCTCTATGGAGTTTCCCACATTATAAACCTTTTTAAAAACTACTTTAAAAAA